ATTTCCTCTCAAACTTTCTACCTTGATCATAAATTTAAGTCATACTCTCCCTCTGAATGAATTAGATAAGAAAGAAATCTATAGTAATATTCAGTACCATCAAAAGCAAACTTTAAAATATCTCAGAGATAAAGATAAAACAGACACTATATAAATGAAACATGTAGAGAAGATCTTTTAGCTGAATGTGAGGAAGGTAACAGAAATGACAGGGTTACCATGCATAAAGCAAATTCACAGTGATTATTAATAAAAATAACATTTTTAATTAAAGATATAGGACGAAATGGTGAACCAATGCAACAGTGATACTCACAAAATACTATGTTGGAAATGACCTTTATAATTGGGATCCAATGGGAAGAGAAAGAAGGAGGAAACAAGGGAGAAGGTAACACTGTTTGACAAGAAATATACTCATTTCCTTACTTTTGTAACTGTAATGCCTCTGTAAATCACCTTGAAAATAAAATAAAAAATAAAAAATTACAGTAAGGTATAATTGGCTAAACTTACATTGCTTCCATACAATTATGATCTATAATGTAAAATTGTATAATAGAATTTTAACTAATGTATGAAAATAAAAGCTTATGGTTGTGGTGTGTGTGTGTGTGTGTGTGTGTGTGTGTGTGTGTGTGTGAGTTCTGGGGTGTGAACTCAGGGCCAAAATACTGTCTCTGTGCTTTTTCACTCAAGGTCCATGCTGTAACCAATTGAGCCACAGCTCCACTTCGGGATGTTTCTGCAGGTAAACTGGAGATAAGAGTCTCACAGACTTTCCTGCCCAGGGTGGCTTCAAACCACAATCCTCAGATCTCAGCCTCCTTATTAGCTAGGATTACAGGTGTGAGCCATGAGCATCTGACTATTTGCCATTTTTTGCCCAGTTTCTTGAGAATGCTAGGCAGGCACTCTCTCACTGAGCTACATCCTCTACACATCTTACTTTCAGTTGTTTATCTTATAACACTCTCTATGCCAAACTGCAAAACAAGAGACAGACATAACACAACACAAACAGAAAAATATATATATTTAAGAATCAAGTTTATGATGATCATATTTCAGTGAACTATTTTTAGACTCCATGCATTTTTCTCCAAAAAGTCAACTATGAATTCATGAGATGGTAATAGACTGAGAATAATATTTTAACTTTCTATAATTTGTCAGGCCATTCATTTACCTACCTCAACAACAGAATATAAAAGCTTTTTGAGAAAACATTATTGAGCATCAGCAAGAATTGTTTCAAGAAGAGCACAACATGAAAAATACCTGTCATTATTCTTGAGTAATTCAGAATGTAGACACAGAAGCAAGTAAATAGAAAAGGTTTCAGTTGTAAGAGGTAAACGCTAGAGTGAAGATAAATCCAGAGCTCTCTGATAACACATTATAGTGGCTCCTGACTCTGTCTGGTGGGTGAGTCTTGTGGCTGTGGGGATAGACATAAAGGAAAGTTGCTCAAGGGGAGTCAACCTTAAATGAAGTCTTCAAGAATGACAGGTAAAGGAAAGGCCCATCTGGGAAGAAGCTGCATACCCAGCACTAGCAAATGAATAAAAACCCCAGAGGGGCTGGGAAGGTGGCTCAGTGATAGAGCGCTTGCCTTGCATGCATGAGGCCCTGGGTTCGATTCCTCAGTACTAGATAAGCAAAAAAGAAAAAAGCCGGAAGTGGTGTTGTGGCTCAAGTGGTAGAGCACCAGCCTTGAGCTGAAGAGCTGAGGGACAGCGCCCAGGCCCAGAGTTCAGGCCCCATGACCAGACCCCACCCCAAAAAAACAGAGAATCAAGGAGATTTAGAAAACAGACAGAAGACAGAAACGAGGAAACAAGTGATCCTAGTCTCAAATGCTTGACTTCGCACACAGTTCTCTCTAATGAAGAAAAAAGGGCCTGCAGAGACCAGAAGTAGAGTAGCAATATGATCAGAAAAAAAACTTCAGAAGTAACTTAGAACAGTCAAGAGTAGAAGATTCAAAGGAGCTGGAAGACAGGAACAGGCTTGGTAGAGATTAAATGAGGGAATGGCTAGAACTTTGAGATGGAAGGTGGAAGAAAGGAGGATGACTACCTGTTTCCTGACATAGCCTTCCAGTAGTGGATGGTTCTGCCTGTTTCCTGACATAGCCTTCCAGTAGTGGACGGTTCTGCTCCCGGAGATGGATAATATGGCAGCAGAGAAGAAAGGGAGAGAAAGTGGAAGAGAGGAAAGCTAGTCGTTTGTGGACCTAAGAACTTCCGGGAGAGGGTGGGGGAGGGGATGTCCAGAAAGTAGTTGGATAGGCAAGAATGAATCAATACTCATAAAAGAGCACTGACTATCTCCAGTGTTTGTAATAGGAGCTAGCATTTCTCAAGTGTTTCAGGCATGCGCAAGCACTCCATGAAACATCTTTTTGTCATTTTCTCCACTTGGAGATGACAAAGAGTTTGAGTAATTTCCCATTGGTCATAAGATATATAAGGGTCAGGATTGTGGATTTTATAACTAGAGCCCTTAACAGATTATACTCTGCTGTATCATTCAAAAATCCATTACAAATTTTAGGATCTGGTAAAATGAGTTCAGGCCCAATGTCTGATATTTAATAATGATATACTGTCTCCTTTATAGATGTTTAACCATCTGTAAAATGATAGCTGTTAGTACTCCATTACAAAAGATATGATGAGGACTGGAAAGAGTGTATAGAAAATGCTAGATGGAGTCCACACCTGCTGTACATGGCATCTGCTGTCTTATCTATGTCCAGAGGAAAAACTTCTACTCATAGGAAGACAGCTAACAATCTAAGAACATTACCCTTCATCTTTGGATGAAATTTAAGTTCATATGAATACTCTATATCTATATCACTTTTCTAAACATTTTTGAGACATTAATATACTCCTCAAATGTTGAAATGTTATTTAATTCAGATATAAATCATTTCAAGGTAAAGGGGTTGTTTCCCAGAGGATTTTTCTGATCTATTTCTATGGTGAATTCCAAAATGAGAATCGCTGAAATGATCAGGCATGTTGAGGTAATGGAGAGAGTTTTGACTTGGAGTCAGAAGACTAGTGTGAAGTCTCAACTCTGCCACTTACCCTGCCATGCCAGCATGAACAGTCATCTAACAGCTGTAATCACCCTTCTCAGACATATATGACCAACACACTGACCTATGTGTTTCTAAATTCAGCAAATAGAGTCAGGCTGAGAAGCAGGGAGGCTCACCCTAAATTTTTGGTCGTTAAACCTGGTTGCAAATTAGCATCACTGGGACTGTAAACAATGATTTAAAAAATAGCAATCCTAGAATACTACTGGAAGGACACTAGTAATATTATAAATCTACAATTTATAACTTCTGGGCATGTTTGGTGAGAGGTGATCTGAACCACCACTCTCTTTACCTTCAACTGAATTCAAACCTTCTTTTATATATACACACTCTGTGTGTATGTGTGTGTGTGTGTGTGTGTGTGTGTTTCTCTGTCTCTCTGTCTCTCTGTCTCTATCACAACTGTCTTAATCAACCATCCTGTCATGCTGAGATCCTGTGTGTTTCAGATATAAGTCCTAGGAGCCCACAAATCCTTCAGTCTCTAGGAAAATGGTGACACTGGTAGGATATTGGTAACCTAACATCTACACATCCACCTATAAATGTGTCCACCTGCACACAAACTGTTAACTAACCCTCATTGTATTAGAACAAAGTGCTGGTCACACACTCCCTGAGCATTGCCACTCAGCCCCCACCATCACCCAGAAGCAATCTGTAGTTAGAAACCTGTAGGCCAGCAAGACCAAAACACTGAGTGGCTGAGGGAAGAGACAGCAGTTGCGATGACTAGCACTCTCAATCAAAATTCATTCACTCGTAGTTTTATTTTTAATTGTTTTGAGGTCCCCAGAGCCATTTTTGTTCACTTTAGTAAATAAGCCTGGCAGTTTTTAAAGAATAACATCTCTACTACTTGATAGGCTTCATAGTGTTAGGGCATTTCAATGAGTTGTTACATTTTTCTTATAATGATCTACAAGAAGTTAATATATAATAGATAATAAAAGTAGACTAAGGTCATCTCTTTATGTAAACTGAAGACACAGTTATCACTTCTTTTAAACAAAGTATCTGTGAGAATGGGAGCTATGCAGCACAACCTTCTCCAGTTCACAATTGAATTCACTGTCCACATCTTTGCTAGAGCCACATTGTTATACACAAGTGTCTTATCCCCAGTGGCCTGATGGGAACCTAAGGCTTAAATCATGATCATGCAAGCTAATAGCATGAGCCAAAAGGACACCTTCCTGGTAAGAGCACATCTTCCACATGACATCGTTTAGCTGTCTGTGTGCAGGAAGTCTTGGGCAACAGACTCGGTAGTGTGTGGGTAGGGGAGGCTCTCCACTCACTGTCTCTGCTTTGCATACCATAAAGAATACTATTAACTTATACAGGCAAAGAATATTCCCTAGCAAGCCTTTCCCTCAGTAAAATCTGAATCTTAAAACAATTGTGAACAAACTGGTACGTTCTTGGCCTTAGAACAAACCTAGGAAAATAAAGAAAGCCCTTGAGACTGTGGTTTTCATCCATAAAATGAGCAATAGGCACTTTCTCCTACTATGCTTCCTTCTGATGGCCAACAATCTATGCACTATCCAGTGTTTGGGGATCAAAACATAACAAAGGAAGTACATTAAATTGTTCAGCCTGTCTAACATACTCAGCACGATTTCAACACCCTGGTCTTTCAACCTCTAGCTTTCCAAGTGGAAAATCAAGAGAGACATTGAAATGTGACAGCATCGTAAAGCAGTACCAGCATACTTCTTGAAAGGTCTGCTTCATGGTATTAAAAGAAAATTTAAAACTCAACAAAAAATATGTTTAACAAAAATCTTGCTGTTTTAGTATATTTCTTTTAAGTATGCTTTGCAGTAGTCTCACCAAAAGTATTTATAAGCAAAGCTGAGATAGAATGAAGACTTACTGATTGCTCATTTAAATCCTGGGAGTCTTCCATGTGGTTTGCTCACTGCTCCTGCTACAGCCAAGTAGAAGCAGCTCCCTTCAATTAAAAAGTGGGCTATCTAAGGGAAAAAAGAAATAGAGAGAAAAGTAAAGGGTTATCTTTTCCATTCATTTTTTAAATTACCAATGCATATTAAATTCTAACATGTCATTTGTATAAGTTTTTTGAAGAATGAAAGTCACTAATATTGTCTCAATATCCAATCTAAATAACAAGTTTACAAATAATAGCATGGTCAAAATTGATTTAGGAGAACAGTTACTCAGAAATTTTGTAGGTAGAAGTATTTGAAGATCATTTTGGAGACATAATCTAAAATAAAGAAGACCCTACTTTGCTGAGACATCTATTCAGTCACCGCTAGATTTAAAAATATCAAAAAAAAATCAAGAACCTACATTAGTCAAACATTTCTAAAAGCATATACAGTAGACGGAGAAATGCAATTTGTTATTGGAGTGTGATAGCTTTTATTATAGAATTATTAGAGGTTCACATTTGCTTGTAAAGAATGAAATGTTAGGGCTGGGAAGGTGGCTCAGTGGTAGAGCGCTTGCCTTGCATGCATGAGGCCCTGGGTTCGATTCCTCAACACCACATAAGCAAAAAGAAAAAAGCCAGAAGTGGCGCTGTGGCTTGAGCTGAAGAGCTGAGGGACAGCGCCCAGGCCCAGAGTTCAGGCCCCATGACTGGACCAAAAAAAAAAAATTAAAAAAAGAATGAAATGTTATGAAATACACACCGATTTTAAAAAGAATAAATATAAGACTGAAGAAAAAGTTCTCACATACAGGTGTGAGAAGGGGAACTGTTCAGTTAGCAACTCTGGAAAAAAAGTTAATCTTTATTTCATGCTACGCCATATCAGGTGACTTTTTTCCATATGCCTAGATAAATACAATATTACTTTCTCCATTCAGGGACACTGAATAAGGAAAGCCAGATAATATGAAAATGGTTACCGGGTCAGTTAAAACTACAGCATAGAGTGAGCATAAATTAGACATGTAAGTAGGCTCTCCCAGTGGCCTCTGTGGCTTCTGTAGGATTAAATTTCATTGCCAGCCTCAGTAACCTGTTTAAGGGAAGACAATGTTGTGTTATTGACAAGAGCTCTCTACAGTATCTAGCTCAGTACCTGGAAAGTTTTAGGCATTTCATAAATGTTGATGGACTAACACAATATCATAAAAATCATACAGAGTATATCTGATGGCATAAATAATAGACAGCCAATAACTGCTATTTTAGAAATTCTTTCTCAAAGATACAGGTTCTTTAAAAAAAATGTTTCACCTTCATTCTTCAGCTACCTGGCTGGCTCCAATATACTTTTTAGTTTGTATTGGGACAAAGGAGCATTGGGAGAAGAGTTATTAACTACTTTTGGACATTTTAATTCTTCATAATATTCAATATTGAAAATTATTTCTTAGATAATTTCATACTCGCTTGATCTATTAATAAAATCTACTTCTAATAAAATCATCATTGATAACAGTTAAACACATTGATAACATAAAATCTAGCATGTTGTATTCATTTCCCAGGATTTTTCTAAATACCACCAACTGGGTGGGTGACTTAGAGAAAAAGAAATGTATTTGGGGACTGGGAAGGTTGCTCAGTGGTAGAATGCTTGTCTTGCATGCCTGAGGCCCTGGGTTCAATTCCTCAGCACCACATAAGCAAAAAGAAAAAAGCCGGAAGTGGCGCTGTGGCTCAAGCCTTGAGCGGAAGAGCTGAGGGACAGCGCCCAGGCCCAGAGTTCAGGCCCCACGACCAGACCCTCCCCCCAAAAAAATGTATTTGGTCACAGTTCTACAAACTAGAAGTTCTAAATCAAGATATCGGCAGATCTCTGCTTAGATGCAGGAAAGAATTGTTCTTTGTCTCTTCTGGCTTTGGGGCTTGCTGGCAACCCTGCGCAGTTGTTGGCATATAGAATCATCATTCCAATCCTGGCTTCATCATCACATGGCATTCTTCCTTTCTCACCTGGACTTCTGTGTATGTGTATCTCTGTGTCCAAATTTTTACCCTTTTTTACACCAAGCCTTAGACAAGGGCCAAGCTAATCCAATAAGACCATAGCTTGACTTGAAAACAACTAGAAAGACTATTTCCAAATGAGCCCATATTCACTCATGGGAGTTAGAATAGAACTTAAGTATAATGTTTAGGATACAATTCACTGACATCATCTATAAAATGATTGCATGAAAATTATTTTAAGATGTGATTAAGTTTGAACATAGTATTTCCAGGAAGGATATATTGATTAAGAAATATGATTATCAGGAAAAAAAGTGATCATTTTCCAAGGCACCCATGAATTCATAGTGCTGTCCCTAAATTGAGGAAAATTAAAATGAAGACTTCATTGGAAATTTCTTGCAGCACAAGAAAATTAAGCAAAAAACTGTCCCTCTTGACTAACCATCAGTTCAGAATGTATTTAGTGTCCTAGCTGGGTAGTTATTTCCATTAATGTTCCATGTTACAAGAAAATACTTGGCTTTATATTTCCTTGAAATTTAGACTAATAGTTATTTAGCTTGACTTTTAGCAGTAACATGATTTTCATTCTTTGCCAAACTCACAAAGGTACTAAAATATTATGAGCCTAGTGATTTCACATTAGTGAACTAAGTAAAACTGCATGGGCTAATTGCAGACACAGTATTATTTTACATCATAATTTAGCAATGGTTGTTATGCTAAATCCTTTAACATTTAGTTTTCACAAATATATGAGCAAAGGCTGAGAACAATCTGTGAACCAAGTAAGAAAAGTATTACCTTATAAGAAAGATATAAAATTAAGGAATAACAGTAACCCCATGCTATTTTATGAGGCAATAATCTAGTTCCCAGTTCCACTGCATGGCCAGTCCCCCAGAAAAGGTGAGTTTTAAACAGAAATCATAGCAACCTCTCCATTCCATGTAAGATTATTCCCCAACAGCTAAGTTTCAATATACAGACAGCTCCTCCCAGCTTTTCCTTTAACTTTGCTGTAGGGGTGAGCTATAAACTCCTGTGTCTTAAAAAAATTACAATAAAAAATTCTATAGTTCTTTTATTTCGAATATATGTGATGTATCTATATACCTATATACATATATACATATATGTATATATATTTATGTGTGATGATTCTAAGAAATGGAACAAGGGACTGCAGACTGGTCCAGATGGTGGAGACATCAAGGGCCTCTCACCCCTAAAGTAGTATGGACTTAATTCTGTCTTTCAAATAAAACTATGTCTTCTAGGCATACCTTACATTGGCAAAGACTCATGGATGTGAAGAGCATCTCTGTGCCTTGGGTGACACAGGATCGGGATGGAAGTTGTGCCTGTGAAAGTGTAACTCTAGATTTGCACACAAATGGCACTGTCTTCCACCGGCCACTGAAGCCTGACCCCCTGGTCTTCGTCACGGATGCCTGGCCTACCCACTCCCTGCGTTCAGGGATAACCAGTGCTCTCAGTATGTCCTAGAGTTCACACAGGACCCTTCACAGATCTCTCTTCTCACTACCACTCCAGGAGTGCAAGTTCTCAGGGATCTTTGCCTACACCGAAGCAAAACCTTGTATCTATTTATTTTTGCTTTGCAAGGGTTCCTTCTTCCCTCTAACCCTGTACTTTAGGCATCATTTGTTTCAGTGCAACTAGCCTGACACCCAATTTTACAATACCAATCTGCTTGTATTCTCTTCAAACCATTCAGAGCGTGACTCCATCCTGGGTATCCATGAGACCCCTCTGCCATACAGTGCCTTGAAGAGACCCGAGAAGCCTGATGCATTTATTTCTGGGGACAACTGTCCATGGTGGGAGCTCTGAGGAAGACGTTTCTCTTGCTTCTACCTTAGTCCTGCCCTATCGTCACTGCCATTTCTTCACCCTGTCACTCACATCACTTGTCTTCCAGCCAGAGGTGGGGGCGTGTACGCTGAGTTTCTGGGAAAATGTAAACACCTGAGGCTATGATTGCCTGTTGCTGCAGGAAAATGAGAATAAAAGACTCCATTCCCCACTCAAGTTCCAAATGTCTACCATATTCTTGGAAAAGCTTTTAACAATCCTGGGCTGCCTAGTCTTTGGGGACAGTAGTGTGTAGATTCTGGGATGGAAAGGAAGGTGTGAGAATCATGCTACCTGGGACCCATTATAACCCAGATCTGTTTGGTTTTGTGCCAGTACTGGGGCTTGAACTTAATGGCCTGCGGTTGCTTTGTTTTGTTTTGTTTCTGCTCAAGGCTTCTATTCTACCACTAGAGTCACAGCACCACTGCTGTTTTGGGGGTAGGGAAGAGTAGTTAATCGGAGATCAGAGTCTCCTGGACTTTGCTGCCTGAGCTGTGATCCTCAGATCTCAGCCTCCTGAGTAGCTGGGATACCTGAGACAGGCTATGACCCAGATCTTTCAAATCTCTGTGCCTCTGCAGTTGTTGGGCTATGGGAAGGTACCTACGCATTATCTTCGTAATATTCAAAACAGTTTGATGATAGCTTGGCATTTGTATTCTCAAACTGCAAGTACATTTTCAGTATTTTGTAAGGAAAAAAATATTAAGGCTGGTGGGCATGGTAGTGCACGCAGTCCCAGCACTGCAGAGGCTGAGGCAGGAAGAGTAAGAGTTCGAGAGTTCGAGAACAGCTTGGGCTGCATAGCAAAAGGCTGTCTTCAGCCCCGCCCCCAAGAAAAACCAAATTAAGGTTTGTTCACATGGGGGTACAGTATACCCATATATTATATATCTATTACAGGGATCTATATTCAACTTAGCCATTAGGTACATTCCCCAGGGTTTCTTCAGTTACACTAAATTACTTGTATCTAATGATTCATCTTGCTTAGGACACAAGCCTGAGAAAATATCGAGTTATTATTCCTCCTTCAATGGCAAAAGCCACTAGAATGTGAAACTCGGGAGCTTTTTACAGATATGTGGGAAAAAAGCTGGTCTGGGGAGAGAGAGACAGAGACAGAGAAAGAGAGAAACAGAGAGACAGAGAGAGAGAGAGAGACAGAGAAAGAGGGGGGG